ACGTTCCAACGTTGTGGAAATATTGTCAATATTCCAGCAATATATATATATATATATATTTATTATTTGAGAACCTCAGACAAGGTTCGTATATAGTTCCAGCGATATTGCAACGTTGTGTAAATATTGCCAATATTGCAACGTCGAGAAAATGATTTTATTAGAAACCTTCCTCGTGGTTACTCGTTCTATAACAATATCGCTGTCAGGTTATTTCTTTGGTCAACGTTCCACCGTTGTGGAAATATTGTCGATATTGCAGCGATGTCGCGATGTCGTAGAAACATTGCTAATATTCCAGCGATATTGCAACGTTGCGTAAATATTGCCAATATTGCCGCAATATAGCAACGTCGAGGAAACGATTTGATCGAAACCATTCCTCGTTGCGGCTTCTTTCCCAATAATATCTCGGATATTTCTTTGATCAACTATGCAACGTTGTGGAAATATAGCCAAACTCGACGTCGCGAACAAGTCGTCGAACAACAAATTACAGCCCAAACAAATATCAGCCCGATTATCCCTGAAGTTCGTGTATCGTCGCGCGACAAGCCGTACTTTTTTTTTTCATTTTTATCGACGCGCTGTTTAGAACTAGCTCGCATCCAGCGGCGATTTTTCTCCGACGTCGGACACGCATCGAACTCGGACGAGTCACTCGGCGGAACGACGTTTCCCATGTTTAACCGCGGGTCACGCGACTACGCGTGGAAAAGCACACGCAACTCGATTACGTGGAAGCTCGTGTCGGGGCAAATGGTACAGAGCGGAGGCGGCCGTTATGGAGATAAACCTCCGTTCGAATGATTATTCAAATGATTATTCAAATGAAACTTTTATCTGATCCGCTCCGCTCTTTCCTCGTGCATTTTTCCTGCAGTAATAACCGTAACACCGATCCCTAGTCGAGATTAGATTCGTTGATATATATTACTATTTATTGCGAATAATTAGGAGGAAAGTAACGCGGAAATTGAATAGATTGAGCGATTTAGATGGCGCCAGAAGGAAAAAGAAATACATGCCTTTCGGTATGTTAACTGTAGCACGAGAGGTATTTCAAACAGGACTTTCTTTAATCACTGTTATTTTTCCATGAAGGCTACAGTCTACTTACGGAGATGTTCGAGAAATATTCCACGGTATCGCTTGATTGTATTTTTCCAAGAATATTAATTAATCCCAAAGATTTCTATGCCTCCTTTCGTTTCTTCCAAGAAAACATAACTCTACCCATGAAAGATTCTAATACCACGAAATAAGGAGGAACGGAGACTCGCTACTCCGGCTCCGTTTATTCGTTTATTTTCTAAAGGATCTCGACGGGATTTTACATCGAGTTTCCCTCGACGACGAAGGTTCGTGCGAGCGGGCAGAAATCGACCTCCGTCGAAAGGTTAACGTCATTGGCCAGGCACAATTACACCGAGTCACTCATTTTCTCACGGCTTTAACAAACTCGGGGGATCTAATCGAACGGTTCGATCTTGACGTTTCTCGTGGCCGGCCGTGTACGTAGTAATTCTAGCGGTTTTCTCACGTCGTTCCTTGCTGGTGGCTAATGCCCTGCCCCGTGTCACGGCAACCGGACCAGGTGGTTATCAGGTAACACAGAACCCGCTGACAACATTACGCTCCCGGGTACTCGGTGGTTGCTCGAATATACGAGAACAAACATCGCTCGATGTTACATTCTTCGTTTACGTGCGAGCGTGCATTCTACACAACTATTGCACAAATATTTTCACACGTGGCGGTTTTCTTTGGGTTCCTCCAATAAAAAAAAAAAAGAAAACTTACAGGTCCTCAATCATAGATCGAACGACAGTGGTTGAAAACTGACTCGCTAGAATACAGAGAAGGCGAAACGAATTTATTATTAACGCAAAACCAATCTCATAGCTCAGCGACCAATGTAATCGAACGCTAACGCGATCCCGTAGCTCGGCGAATAAGTGCAATCAAGCGCAAAGCCTGTCGTCTTCAATCATTTACTCGCTCCCGTTTGATCGCGTTTAAAAGCGAGAAACGACACCGGAATGGTTTTCAATCACAAAAAATAAAAGTAAACTTTGCACCGAATCATCAACGTCGCGACAGAACGAAACATTCTCCGAATCCGCAAGGAGATAAAATAATTCCCATGGATTTCCCGAATAGTGCACTCAGTCGCCCGGGACGATTTCTTTAACGAATCGAGCTCCTCGATACCGTCCCATCGACTTCCATCCTCGATAGAATACCGAAAAAAGAGGTGGCACGAGAAAAAAAAAAAACAGGAGGAAAATCTCGGGACGCGACAATTTGTCAGAGCGGTGCCGGTCGCGATACCGGCGCGGTCTGACTGTTGCTTTTCGTTGTCGCCGATTTCCGATTGTTTTTTTAAAGCGCCGGTTCGCCGCGGACATTAATTACCCGACCAGTGTAAATCACGTTATCTACCGCCCACGCCCCCGACGCGAGAGGGCGGCGAAAGAGCAACCGGGGCGAAATGGGGAGAGAGACCGGGAGAGAGTTACACGAGGCTCCGCAACGCCGCCAACTGAGCAAAACGGTCGCCGGACTGCTCTCCACGACCACCGCCGATATCCTGCACGGTTCCTCGGAAATTTATCGGCCGCTGACTGGAAACTTTGCCCGCCGCCAACGTTTTCCATCTTCGCGCCCGGCCGCGACCCGCTCGAGAATGACAAACGTATTAATTTCTACAGGAAGCTTCTCCTTAGGAAGAGATATGTGTTTTTGGCTCGCAGGTTCCCGTTCGTAGGTTCGGGAATGTTTGGCGTTCGATCAATGGCGAGGACATTTCGTTCGTCTCGTGTTCGTTCGTCTTGTGTTCGTTCGTTCTAGCCTCGTGATTTTTATTGGTCGGTTTTTCTTAGGAAGGGACGTGTGTTTTCGTTCGTAGGTTCGGGATGTGTATCGCGGTTCGAAGCTTTGTTACTCAAGTTCGTTCTGTAATACACCGTATTTTCCCGTATTTTGCAGTATCATACTGTGAGATACGTTGTATTTCGTTGTATCACGATGAATTACGCTATCATTCCATGTATTATCTTTACTTGGATCTTTACTTATTACATTTGCTTGGATGCCTCTCTTCGTAATTATTAAGGATCAGTCTGTCTCTGTAGCTCGGGTACCTCGGCGTTGCTAAACCCGTGCTGTAGCTACGGTTAAGCATTGCTACATCCCCTGAGGGTTGAACAGTCGGTGGAACGCGAACATACGACAATAACGATATTCTTTATATTAAAAGTCAAGGTGGTTGGAGAAATATATATATATATCAAGATTGCTGTACTCCGAAAGCGTAGAGACAAAACATACTTGAATTTCAATTTCTGCTTTTCGTTCGTGTATACAAAGACACGAATTTGCATGAAGTCGTCCACGGTCTACTGAATCTAAACGATTAAAAAGATGAAAGCTGTCGATAATATAACACATCGCGTATGCGATGTAATAACGAATGTAATAAGTAAAGATCTATACCATCACCTGGCCATAATTCTGCTCGAATTCGGGGGCGGCCGACAACGGAGAAAATTCCACGCGAAATTGTGACGGCTCTCGGAAAACTTAAGAGGGACGGAGTGGAGACGGGAAACGCGATGAAGTTCAGGGATTGAATCAGATGGTGGATGGGAATTTGGAGAATTTTTGAAATTTCAAGAATTTTCGACGATTTTGTGAATTCGAGAGGGGGTTGGTGGACTGTTAGGGGTTGATTTAGATCGCGGATGGGAATTTGGAGAATTTGGAGAATTTTAGGAATTTGAGAGCGGTTGGTTTGGACCGTGGATATTATCGACAGCTTTCAAATTTTCAAGCTTCTAAAACTTGATATCTCTAACAAAATTGCACGAAAATCTTCCCATTTGGAACCATCGAAACCATCCCTTTCTCGGAGGTAATCACCTTCTCCTTCACCTTCTCCTGGAACTCGACGATCGCCAGCCCTTCCCTAACCGAGAAAAAATATTCACCGTCACCATGGGACGCGACGAGGAAGCGTCTCGAGCGGGTCCGAAACTTTTCACCAGAGATCGTCGGTCCACGCTGGCAAGATGGTGGGTCGATGATGGCGGCGTAGTCGCGAAAACGCGGATGACGAGGGAGGAGGAGCGGTTAGGGGTTTAGCCGGGAACGTATCCATGACGACCGACCGCCCCGCGAATCGCCACCCTCGGAGATCCCGGATGCACCACCGGCATTCCCAGCATCCCTCCGGCTCTCAACCCTCCGCGAATACCCTCTGGTTCGCTCTATCTACCCCTACGTGCGGCCCGCCGCGTGCTCGGCTACTTAAGACTTTGAGTCGGGAACGTTTCGAGGATCTATACCACCACCTGGCCATAATTCTGCTCGAATTCGGGGGCGGCCGACAACGGAGAAAATTCCACGCGAAATTGTGGCGGCCCTCGGAAAACTTAAGAGGGACGGAGTCGAGACGGGAAACGCGATGAAGTTCAGGGGTTGAATCAGATGGTGGATGGGAATTTGGAGAATTTTGGAAATTTCAAGAATTTTCGACGATTTTGTGAATTCGAGAGGGGGTTGGTGGGC